ACCTTGTGCAGCAGGGCAGGGACCGGCAGGGCAGAGGGGATGGAGTTCCCAGGCTGGGGAGGCAGCTTGGGGTGGAGATTCTGTGTCAGTCCAGCTCTCAATTGCTTTTTTGTTGTTATTTTAGTATTTTTCCCTTTTACACTCTTGCTGCCTCAACATGACCTTGGCCAAATTATTTCCCCTCCCTCTGAGATTTATGGCCCTCTTCCAGAAATGATCTGTTCCTGTCTACGAAAATAGACATTGTGCTGTTATTACATTTTAAAATAAAATAAGGGCTGGGACACTGCTCTTCTGTTGCTCTCCCTCCCCAGCCATTCCCCCTCCACAGAGCACAAACCCCACAGGTCGCTGGTGCGGGGCGGTCATGCTCTATTTCAGTGGTTTTGTTGCTGTTATTATTATTATTATTGTTTTCTGCCAGGGCTGGGAGGCGAGTTGTCATCCCCGAGGACAGGCTCTGATTCCCCTGCTGCGTACCCCGCCAGCGCTGCCCCACGGCGCGAGCAGCCGCACGCTCTGGTGCGATGCTGATGGGGAGCAGAGGCAAAGGCAAGCGCAAACCCACCCCCCCCAGCCCCGTTTCAGCCAGAGGCACTCTGGGATCACAGGGCTGTCCCAGAGATGCAGAACGGCTGCAACGTAAAACAAACGTGAAGATCAGATCAAACTTGGACATTTTGGTTGTTGCTTTTCCTCCCCGTCGCCCTGTTTGTTTCCTGACTTGTGCATGCGTGCGTTTACGTGTGCGGCTGCGTGTGTACACGTGTTGGGGTAATTCTCTTTCTGCTGCTTTTTCCCTCCTATTGCAAATGCAGAGCCCAGCGGTGTCCCCACCCTGGGCGATTTGCAGATGTGAGCCCTGAAACGCGTTCACCCTCTGGTGCGGGAAGGCTGTGCAGATGCCACGCTCAGGTAATTTCAGGGGTGCACTGAACAGCAAATTTTAACTCTGCAGGATGCCCAGAGCTGATGTCTCTCTGGAGAAACGCCATCTGGGCAAAGGAAAAGGGGCTGGGGAAGTGTCTGGGTTCACTTTGCTTTCTGCTCGGAGTCGTCGCTCCCAGCATCCTGGGAAGCCCACGTCTGGGCAGGGCCCATCCCAGGGGCCGATGGCATCGCTGCCTTCCCCGCCGGTGACGGGACCCCGAGGACAGAGCTTGGGGGGGGGGGGGGGGGGGGGGGCCGGTCTGGGGGTTCGGGAGAAGCTGACCCCTCGCAGCTGATGCTCTTCAAATGTTTTATTTCCTGCTCAGCGTAAGCCCGGATTGACCTGCAGGCAGCAGAAAATGTCGAACAACAAACGGTCTCCCTGAAAGGAGAAAAACACCAGAACCCCCCCCGAAAAACCCAGG